AGAAAATTCTTCTGCATGATTACAAACAATGTAATGTTTTATCATAACTATATTAGCCAAATGATTACAAAAAAGGGTGTGCACATCATATCAAAACCAAGTAATAATCAAAATTATGCTACCAATGTAGTTAGTGATAGAACACCAAAATGTCTCAGTATCTTTACTGTTTTATTCTGCATGTTATCATATACCTCATATTGCCCGGCTATTGCCCTCATATTGTGATGCTATGGGAAGTTTACCCTCACATCAGGGCAATAAAATCCTGTATCTTGCCCGGCCCGGCCACGCCCAGCTGGCTTTCATCTATCAATACAAAGCATGTCATTTCAAATTACGTTGTGTGTTTGAGGTCATGCTGTGGTACCGTACTTATCCGGGTAAGAGCCCATGCCTGGACAAACGCCCACCCCCCACTTTTGACACAATAAAGAAGTTGAGGTCATATCCGGGCACACGCCCAGGGGGTCTTTTTCTATATACACGAAACAAAAAACAAACAAGCAGCCTATCGGCTGAGATAGCTCCGCTGTTAGAAATGCACATTTCAATTAAAGAACTGAAGACATCATCAGAAAATGAACAATATGTATAGTATCAAAGCAATCGGACTTACAGTTTTTAACAAGAAGTCGAAAATATCACTTTCTACCAAAAATGACTAAAATATTCACCAAAATTAGAGAATTGAAGATATCATCACGAAATGAACAAATCTGAGAAAGGTCTACATGTAGTATCTATATATGTAATATCAAAGCAATTGAACTTTTGGTTTTTAACAAGAAGTCGAAAATATCACTTTTTACCAAATATGACAAAAATATTCACCTAAATTATAGAATCCAAGATATCATCACGAAATGAACAAATCTGAGAAAGGTCTACATGTAGTATCTAAATATGTAATATCAAAGCAATTGAACTATTGGTTTTTAACAAGAAGTCAAAAATATCACTTTTTACCAAAAATTACAAAAATTTTCACGAAAATTAGAGAATTGAAGACATCATCACAAAATGAACAAATCTGAAAGAGGTCCACATGTAGTACCTATATATGTAATATCAAAGCATCGGACTTGTGGTTTTTAACAAGAAGTCGAAAATATCACTTTT